GTTGTTTTCCGGCCTTCTGCTCGTTAACAAGAGGATTAGAGCCGCTGGTGTTTTAACGCCTCAGAAGACCTGCTCGGCGGTTTCAGCCAGAAAGAGGCGCATTGTGCGCTGACAGTGGTGTCTGTGTGGAGAGCCCGGGCCGGAGGACGCGGCGGTTCTCCGGCATTCTGCGGCTCTGACCTCCAGTCTGGCCTGTCTGAGTGGTGAGAAGATGACAGCATCCTCTGAGAATGGGAAAGGGCCGTAAAGCTCCGGGGAGCGGAGGGAGGCCGCCGCCGAACAGGCGCTCCACACAGAAATTGCTTACTTACAGCGAGGTGGATAATCTCCTGTTAATCCGCGGTACTTACCCCGACACACACGCTGACTGCATCTTTTGTGTGTCCGCACAGAGAAAGTGTTTCTGAGGCCGGAGGGTCGAGGTCTGATTCAGGAGGTTCCCAGGAGCAGCGGACGGAAATGAGGACGCACAGCAGCTCATGCGTGTTGGTGTCCTACCTTTGGCTGTTTGTGTGACGCGTAGCCTGCATTGTTCTCAGAGGAACTCAGGAGAACCTCGAGGAACCCTGCTGACTTCAGGTGTTTCTGGAGGAACCTGTAAGGCAGGGGTGTCGAACTGCGGTCCTCGGGGGCCGCAATCCTGCATGTTTTAGATGTTTCCCTTCTTCCAACACACCTGATTCAAATGATCAGCTCATCATCAAGCTCTGCAGAAGTCTGATAATGATCCTGATCATTTGAATCAGGTGTGTTGGAAGAAGGACACATCTAAAACATGCAGGATTGCGGCCCTCGAGGACCAGGATGTCGACACCCCTGCTGTAAGGGATGGACTCAGACAAGAGGAGGCTGCTGGAGAAACGCCTGATAACTCAGAGGAGGTTCCTGAAGTGATGGGAGCATGAAACTGTAAAAACTGGAGGAAAACATCTGTAAAAACAAAACAAAACAAAACTGTGAAATATCTTCAAAAATAGTTTTTAAAAAAAACCCAACAACAACAACAACAAAAAAAAAACAAACAGTGAAAGTAAAGTACTTTTTGTGTAAATACAGTAAAAATAGTGTAATTTTACTGCTATATTTAAAAAATACAGAAGCTGGATTTCAAAACAATAAAAAATATTAAATTATTTTTTATAGCCGACATGTCAGTTAATATTTTTTCCATGATTTTACTGCAAACATCTGTAAAATAAACATTTTTGGGTCAATAATAAAGGTATTTTTTTCTCTCAGATATATATATATATATTTTTGCAGAGTTAAATGCATTAAAAATATTTTAATTTTGCAGTCAAATGAAATAAATAAATTAATGAATATTAGGTAAAAAATCTCTGTTTTTATTTTGTTTTTGTTTTTTTAAAGTTTTGGCCTATTTTTCTTTAAATGGTTAACATATAAATTAAGATTTTTTAGATTTTACTCGATATTATCTGTAGCTGAACAAAACAGGGAATATCTGTAAAATAATGATTTTTTTTCTGATTTAAACACAGTAAGATTTTGTTGATCAAACTGACTTAAATTTGTGGGAAAACGCCTTCCAAGTGAATCAGTGGGGGTCAGTCTTTAGCGATATCAATCTAAACTTTCACAGCTATCTTCATAGACATCCATGTTTTCTGCTGTAGAAATTTCAGACGAATCAGAGATGATTCAGCAGAAATTGTTCTAAAAATGTGAGAATCTCAGATGAAAAGAGTTCAAATCTACAAAACGTTCTGCTGAAGAACCTCTGAAGGTTTCCATGAGCCGTGACCTCTGCTGCAGGAGGTCATGATGGTGAGGAACCCCAGAGGTTCCTCGAGGTTCTCCTGCTTCTCAGAGTGAGCTGAAGAAAGGTTTGCGGCCACATCAAGTGAATAATGTGACCATTTAGCGTTGAGCCGCTGCGTCGGCCGCTGCTCTGATAACAGGATGTTATGAATTTGCTGGAATTGGATTCATGTGATGCTGCTGCTGCTCACGCATCCAGCCGCCACACAGCGCCATTGTGCTCCTCTCTGAACAATTGTTCTCTTCTACTTTTGTCTCGAGCAGTTTGTTTTGCTTGGAGCAGACGGCGGGTCACGCTAGCAGATCTCCAGATGATCATTTCTCAATAATGTGAAATCATTACGATGAGTTTCAGCGTCCACGCTAAATTGGTTTTGTGCTTTGTTTGCTGCCCGTCCTCTCACCGGCCTGGGCATGGATTACTCATAGAGCAGGAAATAATGACGCCAAGGTCCATTAAGTGGGATGGCAGGACATCATATCAGCATTAATCTCCCACTTAGCAGAGCAGCCTCAGGAGGGCAGAGAGATGGAGGCAGAGAGAAGATACTTTTCAGCTCTTTCCTGCTGGACTCGGCTTTTAATTTTTATTACTGTTTTTTTTATGACGTAAAACTTTGGTCAAGACGTCTTTAGGAAACGACCTGGATGCTGTGATCACCTGATTTATCTGCTATCGTCACAATCAGATCAATCTGTTTCCCAAGTCTCCCCAAAAACACATGATTTACTGTTCAGACTCACAACATGAAAACAGTTCAAGGAAAGATTTAAGGTTTGAAATGACACAAGAAGGATTTGATTTATTTTGATGTCTGTTTTCCAACCAAATGCAGCATCCATCCATCCATCCATCATCTCTACACCTTAATCCTCACTAGGGTCATGGGGGGCTGGAGTCTATCCCAGCTGACTCAGGGTGAAGGCAGGTTCACCTGGACAGGTAACCAGTCCATCACAGGGCTACACTTAGAGACAGACAACCAAGCACACTCACATTCACACCTACGGACAATTTACAATCACCAATTAACCTCAACATGTTTCTGGAGGAAGCCGGAGAACCTGGAGAAAACCCACGCTGCACGGGAAGAACATGGAGACTCCACGCGGAAAGATCCCAGGTGTCCTCACCGGGACGCAAACTGGTGACCTTCTAGCTGTGAGGCGACGATGCTAACCACTGAGACACCTTGCAGCCCTAAATGCAACATGAGTCAGCAAAAATATTTCTGCACAAAAAGATTTTTATTCATAAACACTTCTGACATCTGCCAGTAGTTTGCAGAAACACTGCTGACAGCTGTTATCAAACATTTGCACAATTTTGATGTAAAACTAACGATTAACTTGCATTTTCATGTTGTGAACAATTAACAGACGCAGCAGAGCTTTTTAGTTTGGTGTAGGTCAGGGCTGAATGATCTGGGGGGAAAATCTAATTGTGATTTTTTGGGGGGGATATATTCTTTTATATCTTTTTAAACTGTATATATTCTTCCTAATGGCTCCTTTTGTAAATATATTTATATATTTTTATTGTCTTTTTCATGCTTGTGTTTTGCACCACTGGCCATGTCTTTTAATACCGTTGCACTTTGTGTATGATGACGATAAAAGCATTCTATTCTATTCTATTCTATTCTATTCTATTCTATTCTATTCTATTCTATTCTAAAGTCAAGCATCACCACATGCAATATCATTTCTAAAAACAGTGACCCAACAGTTTGAAGTCTTGACCAGATCTACGTCTTAAACTGCAGCCTTTAAGCTTTGCTAATTGCATTTTTCAGACACTTTGTGGTCACATAAAGTCAGAATGTAAATACATATAAATGATGCTGCATTACAGACGTTCCCATGCTCACTGCGTTTCCATGTACATTAGTGCAGAATGATTTATCCTACAGATACTACCATTTGATTTATGACATAATAAAAAAAAAAGCTTGAGGTCAATACTGTGTTATAGATTGTAAACATGTGATGAACCACGAGGCAGCATCAGACGTGTGACTGTCACACAAGGAGGATGGCATGAACATATCAAACCACTGACGTAACAGTTTAAACCCTGGATGAGACGTGTTGCGCAACATATATTCTACACTGCAGCTTTTATACTAATTGTTAGTAATTTAAATTATGTAAATCAAATAAAAAAGGATATTTTTCGCATGTACACTAGAAATAATACAACTTTTATTGAAATAACACACCTGGAAACAAACGAAAAGCCCAGAGAAACCGTGATGGCTTGTAATTCCTCAAATACAAATAGTGAGAAAGCCTCACGCAGAAGTCTATTAAACGGTGAAAATCAGTTTTTATTGTGTTGTGTGGTGGCTGTAAAACAACTCTGGTTGGAGATGTGAAGTAAAAGCTGTTAAAATACGAAGATCTTCTCTCCTGCTCTCTGTGCTCTCGCATTTTAATCCAACGAAGCTGTTTTCATTCTGCTCTGGAGCCAAACTGCTGATTTTATGACTATATTGGTGTTTGACAAACTCACTAAACACATGAGTTAAACACAACAGCCATCCCTCAGAGAGAAAGAAGCGACAGAGACCCAGAGAGAGTCTCCTTCCTGATGGAGGGCGTACAGAGCTCAGCTGCATCTAAAGCTACACGGAAACAACCAGGAGTTATACTGTCACTGTGAAATTAACCATCTTTGACTTGCATTCATTTAATTAAAAGGGGAACAATATGGGACCTTTCACCACCTCAGTATATGTAAAATCCTGGTTATTCTTATCTATGTGCTCCAGCTGATTCCTGTTGTTATGCGAGTTATTTGATTAATAAACATGTAATTTTAATAATAAACGTCTGATCCTTCACTGTAAATATACTGTAAATATACAACCCAGCCAGTATCATCATTACAGGGCCTCTGTCATGGTGAGGTTCTGGGTTCTGGTTTCTACGGTGCACTGCGCCATCTAGTGCCCATAAATAATTTACTGCTGTTTAATGATAGCTGCCTGAGAAGACTCCTGAAGGACCCCTCACTCCGTTCAGTCTGAATTCATTTACTGTCATTATTATTAGTAAACACGTACATTTTAATACACATCAGAGTGCTTTTATATATTTAGGAATATATATAAACAGCGTACCGTGTGCTGAGGTTGTGTCCGTCCAGAGGTCGCCCCGCAGGTCGCCTGATCAGAATCCGCCCCGGTGGCCGTTGGTTGGTCCGCTGATTAGCTCCACTGAGTCCCCGGCTGTCAGTAGCTGAGAGCGGTGACAGCTGAACACGTTTTCGTCCCTTTGCTTCGAGCCGAATACAGTCGCCACGATGTTTGAGGAGGCGAGTGAAGTGTTTGACAACATGTTCAAGTCCTCGTTCCCCCTGACCTTCATCGTCTTCATCCCGGCGGTGCTCATCCTGGTGTCGCCGCTCCCGGCCGAGGCGGCTCATGAGTTCACCGTCTACCGCATGCAGCAGTACGACCTGCAGGGGCAGCCGTACGGTGAGTCCGCCGCCTTTAAGCCACCAAACGGGGAGAATTCCTGCCTTAATTCGGCCAGGAGCTGGTTCCGGCTCCGGCTGCGGGCTCCGGTTCGCCTCCGCGTCGTTTCCATCAAGTTACGCTGAAGTAACGTTTCAATGACAGCATAGCTAGCTGGCTAGCTGCTAACGTAGCTTAGCTTAGCTGGGAGGCAGCAGGAAGCTACCGAACCAGGACCGTGACTGTTTAAATCAGTGCACAGAGCTCCACTGGGTCCCCCTTTATTAGCAGTGTCATGATAATTAGTGGTAATTAATCATTAGCTTGGCAACACTTAAAATGATCATTTATTTTGACTGGAACAGGCTCAAAATACAAGCTAACACTCTTCTTCCTCAAAGCTTGTCACCGTGATGCTATCAGAGGAGTGAGACGGTTTGGGAAGTGAATGAACCGTGAACAGAAAAGGCTTTAAAAGTCCATATTGTGCCCATTTTCAGCAATTTAATGAAAGTCTCACACGTTCCCACAGCATCTCTGTCAATGTTTCAGCTCCAAAATACCACAAAGATGGTGCATGTCATTGTGACTGTGTGAGTCCTGCTGTGGTTTCTCTTTTAAATGGGTTGTTTCAGTGTCTGTACCTTTAAATGCACCTGACCCCGCCCCCTCCAGGAAGAAGACCCTCCATGTCTGTGGTCGAAAGCACAGCAGCTGACAAAAACTGTGTGAAACTTTTTGCCCTGAGCGATGATTTCACACGGAAATATCTCAGATTTCACAGCATGGCCTTGGTTTTTAACTCGTGTTTGATAAGTTTGTCATCTGATGCTATAACGTCTGCAGAACAGAACATGTAGTCCTAATGCGCTGCGCTTCAGTCACTGTTTCGTACTCGTTCTGCTGTCTGACAACAGAAATGGAAAAATCTGTAAATGAGAACAGCTAGTTTAGGATAAAAAATAATGAGAGGTGCCAGACTTGACAGACATATCAGCGATCCAAAACCTCCTCTTTGATCAGCATGATTCACTTTATTTAACTATTGGCATCAGGGTGTGGATAGAGTGTCTGTCTCCATTCAATAACCTGAAAGTTTCCCAGCGTTGTACTGACTGTTGGTTTTTTGTGTCCTCAGGTACCAGGAACGCCATCCTGAACACGGAGGCTCGTACTGTAGAGGCAGAGGTACTAAGTCGTCGCTGTGTTATCATGCGACTGGCGGACTTCTCCTATGACAAGTACCAGAAAGCCCTGCGTCAGTCAGCCGGCGCCGTGGTCATCATCCTTCCCAAGAACATGTCTGCTGTGCCGCAAGACATAGTTCAGGTAATAACACGCTTCACAAACCACCGTGTGCGCTGCGTTTCTTCTTCCTCGCCCTCGACTTTTGCTTCACACACAATGGGCCGTGCTCCAGTGCACACTTTGCTTTGGGAATTAATTATTTATCCTCTACGTACAAAAGAGATTTTCAAGTAATGCACTTTACAACACATGTGAGCGGTTCAGTCAAGTCACTGGTATTTATAAAGCAGATTTAAATTAACAGCTAAAGTGAAAAATAGGATTACGAGTTAACCTAACAAGTTTAAATATTGAGGTTAAAACCCTGCAGTGTTATTTATGGCATCAGTTCACCTGAGTAATGTAAATACTACAACTACTACTGTAGAGTAAATACGAAGTCCAACAACATGTAGTATTAATATTTATGGAGATTAACCTGAATAATTTAAAGTTAAGATTCTACAAAACTACACATGAAAACCCAACAAATTAAGTTTTCCCTTTGAGCTTTCTTTGCCTTTTATGTCTGTTATTGTTATTTTCTTTAGTTAAAGAGTTGGTGGTACAAGTTTTGGATACACCTGCAGATAAACATCACAGTGAGGAGTAAAAAAAAAACCCATCCGTCCACCATGTTGACATTCTTAATGCATGGTTTCCTCTTTGTCTTTGTCCATCTCATGATCTGCACATATCACCAGCAGCATCTCTGTTCATGTCAGTCTCTATTTTAGCTTGTTGTGCAATATCCTGCAGCTCAACTGTGGTGGGAACAGATGCTCGACTGAGGGTGTGACCCGTAGTTTGTTTGACACCACCTTCTCTCTGTATTTTTTCCCCCAATCAGCTTTTATCAGATTAATGTAGCTCAAAAGCAAAGGAATGTATGTTTGTGATGTTTGTTTCAGCGAAGAAAGCGTTGTGACTAATTAAACCTCCCACTTCATGAGTGGGAATCTTCTGGAATGCAGCAGTACTAGACATTCGATGTCTTACTCATTTGGTTACACAACTAATTACCATTTTTGGCAATTTATTGTCGAGAGAGATTTTTATTTGTCACGATTCCAGTTAATTTGTAAAGCAGTTGTTTCCACTCATCAATTAGACTCCCACCACCACCACCACAGCAGCAGCAGCAGCGATGATACAGAACTTGCAGGGATGCAGCGACTTTTATCAGATTTTCAGTTTTAGCCCATCAGCAAATTACAAAATGGAGCTTATCTCATTAAACCCGCTGTTTACCTTCTGCAGCAGTTCATGGAGCTGGAACCGGAGATGTTGGCTACCGAGACCATCGTCCCCGTTTACTTCGCCATGGAGGACGACGAGCTGATGTCCATCTACACTCAGACGCTCACCTCCTCCTCCTCGCAGGGCGCCTTATCAGCGGCCGAAGGTACGGGCTCGGCGGCGCACACGGACTGTAACGCATGTATTATTGAAGGCAGATAGCGCACACGTTCGATCAATATTTGCAACCGTGAACGGCCGCTCGCAGACACGCACAACCTTTCTGTTAATCTTACGGCACGTGAAGGAGTCAGCTTCTTGTCTGCAAACCTTTCCGTGTTACTTTCAAACACACACACAAAAAAAACACACTTTGAGTTGCGATTTAGGGAAAGATTTTTCCACATTTTAGCAACGATGTCAGTCGAAAACCATCCCAGAGTGCAAAAGACCTTCTTCCTTCAGTTTGCTCTTCAGTTTGACATCTATTCCAAACTGAAAAGCCCAAAATAGTTAAACTTTGCTCCAGTTAGGAGAGTCTGGAACAGCTCAATTTAACGAGTAATCGATGTTCTGACAAGTTTAGTTTGTCGCTTCCAGCTGTTTGTAGGAGTCTTTCCTCTGAGTTTATCAACTGCCTGCAGCATCAAACGGCAGCAGGATCCATGTCTCTGAAGTGAGAGAGTTTTTATGCGCGTGTAAATGGCAGGTTATTAAATATGTATAGCCTCATTATACTCAGAGACAGGATGCATCAGGATGTAACAGGAAGTCACAGCGAGCTCCGTCACAGCTGTTGGGATGCTTTTATTTTGCTGTTGGTAAAGTAGGAGCTAGATTATCTTCACATATGGACAGAATTTTTAGCGATTAGGGAAATAAACAACTTAAATTAGTTTGATCAGCTGCTGGTGGTTTAGATTTTTGTTTACACATCACTTGGTGTTCTGCTCAGATGTTGCTCACGTCTCTCTCCGTTGCTGTGGTTGAGCCGCAGAGTGGAACCAAAACATGAGGCTGACCTATTTCTGAATGACTGAATGCCGTCATTGTAAACGATTAATGAATGTTCCCACGTCTTTAAAAAAAACAACTCTTTCTTGTTTTGTGTTTTCTGTAGTCCTGCTGCATACAGCCACAGCCAACGGCTTCCAGATGGTGACCAGCGGCGCTCAGAGTAAAGCCATCAACGACTGGGCCATCACCAGTTTAGAGGTGAGCGAGTCGACTCAACAGCAACCGAATCAGCCGCTTAACGTGCACACGCCTGGTTTGAGGGATAAGCTTTGATAAAAGATGCAAAATCAGTGGAAGTTTAAAGGTTTTTATGGACCTGAAATGAAGGAGACAAAAATGTACGAGCGGATTTCTCATCTGATCTGGACAGAGGAGCTGCAGGATGATGTTACGGCGGCTGTTTATCGGAGCCTCGTTTCAAACCTCTGAGTTCAGTAGGCGACGTTTTCCTCCCACAGTAAACACGCTGAAATAAACTGAATTACACAAGCCTGCGTACACAACTTAATATTCATTTGTTAGGTGTGTAGTCGCGCTCGCTTCACTGTGCGGCGAGCAGAGTCGACACCAGAGCGAGGAATGTCAGCGGGGAGGTTGATGATAAAACCTGCAACAGAGAGTTTTGTACAGACTTGATCTAAAGAAAGAGTTTCTCCACTCTTCTCGTGTAAAGAGAGCCTGTTATTATTGTGATCTTGTGTTATTAGTTTAGTATTTTATGTTATCTGAGAGTTCAACCTGTGTGTTTTTTAACATGTGGGTGGGCTTAAATTCCTGAACAAAACCGCCTGTGTGGACTGAAAGCTGTGGATTTAAGCAGAAGGGATTATTTTCACCTGATTCTGTGTTTGTGGTCTGACACAGGAATTATTTCAGTGAATCGTATGGATTTTATTGTGAGTTTAAAATCTATATTTGAGTGCTTATTGATCCAAATGTTGAAACACTTTCTGACATGACATCCTGATGAGACTTAGTTTACTTTCTATTTTTACTTTTACGATCAAACTGCAGGCTGTGATGCAACAAGGCACAAGAAAACATTTGGTTTCTTTGGATGATTTAATTTTCATAAAAGGGTTTTGACGTCCAGAAAGGCTGTAAAACAAAGCAGGACGGAAATGTTGCTTCAAGACTTTTTAATTAGTTAAAATCCTGAGGAAAAACATGGTTTAATCAGACTGAGATGGATCACAAACTGAGAGACAGAGAGCTGAATCAGAAGCTTTTAATGAATTATTTTTTAAATATAAGACAACTTTGATTTCTGCAAAGTACAATGTTAACAAAAGGCAATAATTAGAGTAAAGGTTCGTTAATATACAGTAACATACAAATAAAATATAGGAAAACAACCTGAGCATTGGCTTGTATCTCCCTGACACTCGTATGAACTTACCAAACAAACACTTTAAACAAATATAATGTGCAACTTTCCCCATTTTCTGCTCTATTTTTTATCTTTTCTGGCTAATCTAACGTCTCTTTGGTTTATTTTCAGGGTCGTCTGGCTGGAGTCGGAGGAGAAGACCTTCCCACCATCGTGGTGGTGGCTCATTACGACTCCTTCGGCGTCGCTCCCGTGAGTCGTTTCTGACGCCTTGAAAACATTCTGCAAAATATTCTGTCGAGATATATTCACAGGGTTCAGTTTAGTTGCTCATACAGGGCAGAAAGCTCCAACTTTAGTGGTTGAGAAACTAACACCAGTAGGAGGAGGCAGCGGGCCGGTGGAGTGACCAGTCTGTGGTTTGTTGTGTCTAGTGGTTGTCGTACGGAGCTGACTCCAATGGCAGCGGCGTCTCCATGTTGCTGGAACTGGCTCGACTCTTCTCCAAACTCTACACCTACAAGAGGACACACGCTGCGTGAGTAACAATGATGGGTTTGAATCACTTGTGATGGCTTCACAGTTTCTGGCTACGTTAAAACCATAGACTGTATAACAGATGGACGCAGCAACCGGCCCTGAAAAATGAAATCAACCCGGAAGTGTCAAAAACCTGCAATATCACTACGTCCACTAGCTGCTGGCTGCAAAAAGCCCTGGCTCCCATAGACTGGAATTGGAAAAGAAGTGATCACAGATCACGAAATACTGCATTCCTACAGCTCAGGATTGTTTTCTTCTTAGTTTTCATGGTCAAATCCAGAGATCAGGTGGCCAATCTGAAAATAAATCAATACTGAATTTTTAAAAAATCGGCAACATTTTGCGGTGCAAGGGGCGTGGCTGGCTTGATCGACAGTCGGCAGCGATGATGCAGACGAAGCGAGCAGAAGGCGGTAAATGTGGGCGGGGCAGAGAGGGCCCGCCTCTCAATCCGTCTGACCAATCGCTGCTCCTATGGCTCCGCCCCCCTCCCACGACTTTTGGCTCCAAAAATCCAAGATGTCAACCAGGAAGTAGCAAAACCCTGGCTTCATGTTCTCAGTGCAGAAACCAACGGGTGACGTCACGGCAGCTACGTCCATCTTTTATACAGTCTATGGTTAAAACAATAACTCACGCTAGCACAGAGTGAAGCTCCGTTTACGTGCTGCGCTCGTTTATCGGATGAATCCGTTAAAGCAGCATCGATCGCTGACCTCAGTGGTTCACGTGAACACAAGCCAAAGTCTATTTGCGACGCCCGTCTCATTTGTTACGGTTAGCGTGCTGCTCTGAATGCTTTCCGAGGGTTATATTGAATTATCCGTGCACTCTGCTGGTCGTAATAATCACATCCGACCGTGTTAAACACTGAGAGCGGTCAGTAACACGGTGCCGTCTTAATGTGCTGAGCAACACCGGAGTGGAGGGAATCTCACGTTAGAGGACGCTAACGCTAAAAGCACTGTCAGCGCTGCTCACCGACATGTTGATGTATCTCCCACAGGCGCTGATTTAATAGACAACTGCTTATTCATCAGGTTCACTCACATTGTTACGATTTTATTGTGTTTTTTCAGGTATAATCTGCTTTTCTTTGTGTCCGGAGGAGGAAAGTTTAACTACCAGGGAACCAAACGCTGGCTGGAGGACAACCTGGACCACACAGGTGATGCTCAGATGCTTTACGCTGAAGCTGCAGAAGGATTTATAAATGTTCATACAGCTGGATTTAGTTCATTATTCAATATTAATACGACACAAACCAGCCTGAAACATTATGACATGACCATAACACTGGATAGGAGTCATTCCATTTGAAATCAAATGTGAAAAACGTTCCCCCAGACCTCCACAGAACATACTAGGATCAACAGATAGACGTTTATAGTTTTAAACAGGGTTTGAATCATTTTGGTCAGGTTTGGAATTATTTTGAACAATTTTAGAGTAATTTTGGAAAAGTTTTGAGTAGTTTTAGACACTTTTTTGGACAGAAAACACATTTTTTTGGAGAAATTTTGAGTAGTTTTGGACACAGAAGTGCATTCTGGGTAAGCTTTCACGGCTCATGTGTGATGGTGGTCGGAACGTTTAAAACCAGGATCATCTTCTAGACGTGATTCTTTCTGTTTGAAGGTAATATTTTGAATAAATTCCTAAACTATTCTGATGTTATTATACATAAAAAAATCAGCTTTCTCTGTACAACATCTGCACATTTCTATCCTTCCATATTAACCGTTCCTCCCTCTCGTCCTCTGATAGACTCCAGTCTGCTGCAGGACAACGTGGCCTTCGTGTTGTGTCTCGACACTCTGGGAAACGGAGACTCGCTTCACCTCCACGTGTCCAAACCTCCTAAAGAGGGAACCCCTCAGTACTCTCTGCTCAAAGAACTGGAGATGGTACGAACCTGGAGACCGAATCCTGTCACTTAAATGCCAAAAAATGCCAAAATACACTCTTAATTCTTGGTTAAACGAGTTTAAATAATCTTAAAACATGCATGAATACATCCACTGTACAAAAAGACATTAAACCTTTTTTTTTCTCACTATCTGACATTAAATCAGACTAAACTTTTCCTGTTTTAGGTCAGTTACCAAAATTATTTCTATTTGCTAGACGCCAGAATAATAAGAGAGAGAGAATTTTTTATTACTTTCACAGGTGTGCCTCCAATTAACTCAAATGTTGTCAACTAACCAATCAAAAGCTTCCAAAGCCATGACATCATCATTTGGGCAAATAGTTTGAAGGCATCTTAGTGGATGTAAACTTCTGACTCTTAAGAAAGTAGTTTGAAGGTTTCTCCTGATTAGCTGTGTTATTAAACCCAGATCACAGGTAAAAAGAAAACTCAGCATAACTCGTCACACTTTTTCGGATCACATTAGCGTCCCGTCGTTTCTCCCCCAGGTGGTCTCGAGTCAGTACCCGGAGGTGAAGTTCTCGATGGTGCACAAGAAGATCAACCTGGCCGACGACATGCTGGCGTGGGAGCACGAGCGCTTCGGGATCCGCCGCCTGCCGGCCTTCACTCTGTCCCACCTGCCGTCGCACCGCCTGGCTCAGCGCTCCAGCATCATGGACGTGCGGTCAGTGTCCCCCTCCTCTCGCCACGGAGCGGGAGAGCCCCCTGCTGGGTGGGTTCATTACTGCAAGTCTCTCCAATCACCAAAAGAAAACAAAGAGTTTCCATTCTAGCAGGCAGTCGTTTGCTTTTCTCACCTTTTCTTTCATGTTTGATCTCTCCCATGACGACAATCCGGTGGTTTGGATGCATTAAGTTTTCCTTTTTTTTCATGTCTGCCGTCTGTTTCTTGAACTCTGTTTCTAGGTTTCAGCCTGACGCTCAGTAATCCGTCTCACTTCTCTCCCTTGTTTGCTCAGGATTTCTCCGATGATGCTTTCAAGTCTTTCTTCTTCTTCCTCTCTAACTGTCTGTAAACGTGTCTGTGTCTTACAGGCCTCACGTAGACGTGAAGAAGCTCGGCAGGAACACCAAAGTGGTGGCCGAGGCGCTGGCCAGGGTCATCTACAACCTCACCGAAAAGGTAGAAACAGGCTCAGACAACTTAAACAGAAGGCGGTTTGTCTATTACCGGCATTTAATGTGGATTTTTTTTTTCTTTCCTGCATTCTGCTGCAAAGGGGGCACCCGGAGACCTGCAGATCTTCACAGAACAGATGGTACGTCGCTGAACACACCTGATCGTCTGCCACGAGTCTGATACGCGACTCAGACCGACACAGTGACACAGATTCACAGGATTTGGCAGTTAGGAGCTGCGTTTTTGGAATTAACCGTTATGTGATGAATCGCTTTGATTCTTCTGATGGTCTGATATCAAACTGAGTGGACCTCCAGTGGATCCACGTCTCTGTGAGGACAGAAGAAGCTGTGATAATATCGTTCAACTCATCTCAAAACCGACTCATCTCTTGGCTTGTTTCAAGTAAACTGAAGCAAATTAAACGATCTCGGGCTCGATTAGAGCTCAAATAGCTGCAAATTTAAACCTGCAGGAAGTTAACTCCAAACAGTTTGTGGCTGCGTCATGTTTGTCCTCATTGTGGGCTCACTTTTCATTATAAAGTCCTGCACCTCCACGAGGAGAACAGAGAACTCAGAAATGTTTCCTGTGCACTATAACAAAGCTATAAGGCCGTAAACCTTAAAAATGAAGAAAAAAACCCACTGGAATCAACACGTACATCATATTTCTGAGTATCTGCATCTGTCATCAACACAGGAAACAAACTGTTCGCTCTACAAACTATAAATATTTTACCGCTTCTTTGTTTTCGTACCTGCCTTCCATCTGCTCTGAGTAAACACAGCTTGCAGTTCAGCCAAAGCCAGTCTTCCCCGACGCAGAGCAGCACAGAGTTATTAGTTTTTCAGTGCAGACAGTTTGTTTTTAAGCCAGATTTGTACTGAAACATGTAGAATAAAGAGGTTTTGATAGGATGCTGTGCATTCAAGCTTAGTTTAGGCTGTTTTATTCCCAACAAATGTGAAAGTCAAACGTGCTGAAAGCTGCCGACGGGGAATTAGCTCGGCGCTCGCTTAGCATGCGAGAGTGATCGACGCTTCTCCAGGAGGCTTTTAGGACGTTATGGAGGGGAAGAAGCACCTCGTTCGACCAGCTCTACTCTCCACACATGACGTCCTGTGTTCATGTACGATGTTACTGTGGTCATTTCACTTCACCTCAAACCAACAAGTGCAACAATAACCTCTGTCAGCCACAAAACGTGTGCAGTTACCTCCTCAGGGAATCTATTTATAACACTTTTTTTGTTTTGTTGTTTTATTTCTGCTGCTGCTTTTACCTTTTACTCAGTTTTATTTAATTTCTTCCTCTATATATATATATAAAGCTGACTCGAGTAGACGAGGCAATGAAACGGCAATAAAACTCTTCTTCTGCTCTTGTTTCCTGCTCCGATAAATGGCGTCACTTCTTTGGTGATTTAACCAAAAAAAAGAAAACTAAAAACACGTCTTTCAAACTTTTCAGCAGCTTTTGTGGTTCAGAGGGTTCATGTCGTTTTTTAATTCTGAATCTGAAATTTTAAATCAAGCTATTTATTCGGTCGTGTGTTTCTGTTGTGATAACGTTTGTGGCTCCCGTCAGCAGGTGCAGGAGGAGCAGCTCTCGGCGGTGGTGGACTGGCTCACAGCGCAGCCTCGAGCCGCCCAGCTGGTGGACAAAGACAGCAGCGTGGTGTCCACTCTGGAGTACCACCTGGGACGCTACCTCAAGGACGTCAAGAAGCACTACGTCAAAGCTGACAAAAGGTAAAGAAGACCAACAGGAAACCACCGATACAAACCACCAGTTAAACTATAAAACGCTGCTCCGTTCCCTTCAATGGGAACTTCTTCTTTTAACTTGTTTAACTTTTGACTTTTTGGTTTGATCTGAGCTAATACTACAATCCGGACTTTGTAAAGTTCTGAAGTGTTTGCACATGATGACGATGTGAGGCCAAAACTAGCTGAATGAGCTGTTTAAAAAAAAAACTTAATTTGGACTGTTAGGTGCAAAAAGACTCTTGATTCTGATCTTTAAACAATAAGAAGAAGTCGTCTGACTGCCACAGAGACTGAAAATTAGGCTCAGTTTTTAAGTCCTGACCTCTGTGGAATCAGAACAACCACGACTAGAAGAATAAAGAGCTCAGGAATGTGTTCTGTGCAGCATGACGTAGTTATGAAGCCGTAAATCATAATGAGGAAAAAGTTTAATTAAATTTAATTACAGAAATTGGGAAAAATCTTGCTCACAGCTGCTACCGACGCTGGAGCAACAAACAGTAGCTCCACACACTGGAGATATTTTACTATTTACATTTTTAATTTGTTTGAAGACAGCCTGTAGTTCAACCAAAAAACTCCCAGAATTGTTGTTAAATGACCGTCGACTGCAGCCGAGTCACTGATGGCTTCACGGTTCTGCTGAGGAACGCAGAATTTTTAGGTTTTTACAGAATCTAGTTGGATCAAGTGGTTTATTTTTTGTATTTTTGAAATGAGAAATGTAGAATAAAGTGCGTTTAATGAAATATTCACATTTCTGGCTTCGATTTGGTTGTTTTTTTTCCCGACTAAACTGAAATCACATCACGTTTGGGGCACATCCTGCTGATAAATGGTGTTGTTTGTTTTTAAAACCAACACCGTTTTACACCAACAGGTTTTAAGGTTCTGAAGCTTAAACGCAGAAAACGTCTCGTTAAATAACATTTAATTTTCCCGTGTTGATCTGACATGTGACGGCCTCTGACTGTGTCTCCTTCAGGGATCCAGAGTTTGTTTTCTACGACCAGCTGAAGCAGACGATGAACGCTTACAGGTACGACCCATCGAGCTGCTGATTTACTGCTGCTCTGTAAAAGCTCTGCAGCGTCGAGAAAGTTGTGAAACGCAGTCGTCTGGATGTAGTTCGACTGTTTTAGTTCTTAACAGATCAGATGCAGACAGTCTTTATATAAAGTCAGAGAGGATGCTTGACTCAGTTTCCTTTTTATAAACCTCTCCCGTCGCCTCCTCTCTCGCTGTGTCTCACTCTGCTGATTTTCTCTCCCTCTCAGAGTGAAGCCGGCTATTTTTGACCTGCTGCTGGCTGTCTGCATTGCAGCCTACTTAGGGATGATGTATCTGGCCATCCAGGTGAGTCGCTGTGTTGTTGTTGCAGCAGCCAGTTTGATTCTTCCAGAGATGCACCGTGTTACAGAAACGTGCCACAAAGATAATCAGTTTATTAACACGGGGGGAGAAAGAGTCTCATCGTGACGTGAATCAGGGTTTTTCCTGCGTCAGAACGGACCTTTGGGGGGCGACGATGCACAACCTGATCAATGAGTTTAACAGAAATCGTTTTCCTTTTACTTCTGAAGCAAAACGATCTGTTTAGCTTCAGTAAATGAAACCCCAGTGAAAAGAACTGGAGGTTTGCTGCTTCAAATTCTAAAAAACTCCTCGAAAACCCCCCAAATATGAGCGCTAGATAACAAGAAACATAATGCACATGTTTCTAAAATCCTACAATTCAATCATTTTATCATCTGTGTGAAAACATCAGTTTAGTAAATTATAAGTTTAAAGCTCAGTGGAGGATAAAAACTCTCCAAACAGAGGATTCTTTAGCCTGAAGTCTATGTATTGTGGCGTATAATCTGGATTATTGACGCCCTATGGTTGTGCTGTCGTTTGGGTCCAGAGGAGCAGAGGAAGGTGTGATTACGTTAATTATTCAGAGTGTAGCTGCACCAACAAAACTCCACCAACATTCAAACTGAATTATCTGAAGCACAAACACACGTCTCTTAGTCGCCACTTAAACGCAACAGAAACCCCAAAAAGGAAACATAAAAAAAGCCCTGATCGTATAAATACAACTTAGGTGAGAAGTAATTTGTTCATTTTGGGGTTTTTTTGTTCATTTTTTCACCTGAACCTGAAACACAAAGAGCTGCTGTCATGGACCTCTTCATGGTTTTAATCTGAGGAGAGCTTCGGTTCGGAGCCTTTAAATTAATTCCTGAGACGCCGACGAGACTCAAACAGCATTTAGAATGAAGAGGTTTAAAAACACGTCTTTGTGAAAGTTGTTGAAGAAAGTCCAGTTTAAATGTTCTGACTTTGTTTGGGCTCCACATCAACAGCAGGTTACATGATCCGGTTGGTTTTGTTTAACAAGCACTCATGAGTGTGCAGATGTTTTGTGGATCTTCTTATATTAACCCTCTCGTGTCTCCTCCTTCCTGCAGAACTTCGGCGTCCTGTACAGCGTGGTCCGTAGAATCACTCAGCCCAAAGCCAAGACCCACTAAGACTCCCCGACCCGCTGCACCGTCTCCTCCAATCAGTGAACTCTAGCCAGTAAGGATGCAGAAGCCGGACCGAGCTGCTGCTGCTGCTGCTCTCGCGACGGTTTCCAAACCAGCAGAATCACTTCCATTTCTCTCCACGAACTATGATGTCAGATCCTGTCTTGCTGCCAACTCGACCCGTTTGGTCTCCGCCACCGGAATAATCAGGAATCACATTTTTCTCTCCGCGGGCGTCCTGGCGCTCGCTCGAGGACGCGTCTCGTCGTCCGGCTCTCCGAGGGATGTCCGTGAGGTTATAACGTTTCTTCTCAGTGAACTTTACGAGCCAAACCGACGTCGTGTGTTTTTTTTCTCAGGCAGCTAGAGGGAGAAGAGAGTTCAGCCCGACCCGTTTCCTTTTTGTCCTGTTCGCCCACCTGTTGCTCGGGTTTTCAGGTCTTTCTCAGCGCAACACTCCTGCGATCGTTCGTGCTTTTGAAAGAGTTATTGATCGCTGCGTCCCTCCTTAAACCCACAGCACAACCCATGACAGGATTAGGTTCACCACACAGCCTCCAAAGGTGTTTGTGCTCAGACCAGACTCTGGCTTTTTGGGTTTTTTTTGGTCTCCTGAAGCTTGTAACTGATGATTATGTTCAGGATTTATTCATTTGTTGCTTTAAAATTGATAAAAAGGCAGACGGTTGCATCTTCAGCTGGATCAGATCATCATGGAGGTCGATAAGTGATCATCAGAGGAAAAATTCAAATCTTGGAAATTCAGAATAACTTCATTAAAATGTCTTTTTTTTGGTTTGTTTAACTAAACTAGAGGTTTTGAGCCGTCTGATTACCAGTAGAGATGCCTCGACACACGTTTTTTAACCATTAGTTTAATAGGAAATCAATTTAAATTAAAAAAAGATCCTTAAAATGAGGAAAAACCCTGAATATTTGATCTGATTGATCATCTGATCATCCTCACATTAAATAAATCCAAACCAGCGAGTTCTCTTCATACATTTCCTGTTTATTTTCCCCCTTCACAGCCACCAGTAACTCTTCAGTCGAGTTTTGTGCCGAGACGGACTTCAAGATTAAACCCCTGAACTCGTTCCTTGTTTAAATCCTCAGTTTATGGAGAATAAAAAATAAAAAGAAGACGAGCTGTGAACGAAATGTGAAGTAGTGTTTAGATATTTCCTCCTGATTCCTGCGTTTGTCGTGAATTTGTTCCAAACTAACATTTATTTTTTTTTCTTTTTCTTGCCAAAATCACAAACTCTGTACGAATCTCCCCGTCTGGTGTGTAGTCATAGAAATGTTTGCCTCTTTTTTTTTTTTCTTCTGTTGCCGTGCCTGTGTGTGTGTGAGTGTGTGTGAGTGTGTGTGTCTTATTTTTACAAGTGTTTTATTAAAAATCCTGAATTGATTATGAAATAAATAAAGAAGCCGAAGAAAAGGAACCCGAGGGCTGGAAAAGGTCACGACGTGTTTTCTTGTGAAACTCAGCAGAGCAGATAAACGCTGCTGCTGCTTATCGACTCGCTGCAATCTGACGTTTCTTTGTTTTTTTTTTTTTGTTTTGTGCAATCTGACGTTTCTTTGTTTTTTTGTTTTGCTGACGAACAACGATGTGATTCAGACTTTTTTTCTGTTTGTTCAGATTTGGCTGAAGGCCTCTTAAAACACTTAGATTATGTGTAACGTCGCCTTCAGCTGCTCGAATCGTGTTTGTAGGAAAATATTTTCATCACCGCATGACCTGTGACCCCCCCCCATCCTCCTCCCCACCAGTCGCCATGGCAACAGGACTTTTTAATTCACCATCAAGAGGGAAAATAATTGTGAGGTGCAGTCGTCCTCAGATGTAAAAGAAGGAAGAAAAAAAACACTGAAATAAGTTGACTAAAGTAATAATAAATAATAAAAATTTAATGAAAGTCATGAGGTTGAATTTTGAATTGTGGTTCAACAGAAATATAAAAAAATAAAATTAAAAACAAACATTATTGGACCCAATATTTAGTTGAACAACCCTTTCACTGCAAAGTGCTCTAATTTGTCAGTTTTATTTTTAAAAATTATTCTTTTCACCCACAATCGAAAAGCAACGTCTTATTTCACTGAATTATAATTTAGCAAATTTTTATTTATTATTACTTTTTTCAGTTTCTATTCATTTGAGATTGGACCCAATATTTAGCTGAACAACCCTTTGAGCCAATCAGGTGTTTTCTTTAACTCCCAATCAGACGTCTGCACCTGTTGACAGGTGTTCTGATTTCACTGCTCATCAGCAAAGTGCTCTAATTTGTCAGTTTTATTTTTTAAAATGAATCTTTTCACCCACAATCCAAAAGCAACGTCTTAATTCACTAAATTATAATTTAGAAAATTTTTATTTATTATTACTTTTTCCAGTTTCTACTTATTTGAGTGTGATTTTTGCTTTTTTTTTTCTTTAACGTGAGGACGACTGTGACTTTTTTTTAATTTATTGAAGCTTCTTTTCTTTTTCTTCTTTGTGCACTGACATGATGAACTCTCCTCCTCCTCATCCACGACACTTGATCTCCTTGTGATTTAAAATAAACGATAAAGAAAGGAAGAAAACAAACAAACCAAACTCTCGTTTACTGACATGTTTTATTTTATGAGAAAAAAATGAAACGATAACATTGGCTGAATGGTATTAAAATTGTATTACAAAAAGAGCAAAGTGTCTTCATCAAGTAGTCGTGTAGTCGCTTTAGAAAGTGGTCAGATTCAAAAACACATGTGGGGGCTAATTTGCTTACAGTGTGCACCGATGGTCCAAAATATCAGCAAAATACACCTCATTAAATTAACTGATTATTTTTTTTCCTTCGTGATCCTTCAGGCGTAGAAATTTTCCCCCCAAATTCATCTCCCCTCTTTTTTTTTTTCTTTTTTTTGTTTTTTAAATTTTGATCTACTAATGAATAATAAAAATAATACTAATAAATTACAGTGCAATGTATAAGAAATACCTGCAGGGCTTCTTCTGCCCGTCACACTCGACCCTTCGCTCGTCTCCAGCCTAACACTCTGCCTCGTGGTTTTGGGTGGACGTTTTGGCACAGCTTCTAGTGAGGACGCTCAGTTGGTCGATATTCCTTCTTATTTTTAATTTTATGTTTTAATCGCTCCCTCTGTGGTGGTTCCAGATCTCTGTGAGGGAGCGACTCAGCCGGGGCTCTAATATATTATCATTCTGGTTAAATAACGTCGCCGCTGTGCTGATAAACCTGCCAACAGCGGCTCACTTCTTCATCATCACTTCAGCCAGAGTCCATGAAACTCAAACCCGACCTCCTCAGAATCAGCTGCTTTTTAAAAACCCTTTAGTGTATTTAACGAAGCCGTGCAGCAGATACGAGCCCCTGAAGTGCAGAGAAGTGGGTTGAAACGTCAAGCTTTTTGTTCCATCTCTTACTTTTTCAGCTCTCTCACTCATAATCACAGTTTGGAATCCTAAAATTTAACCTTTTGCAGGCGTTAAAACATGAGAAAATAGTTTTTCCTCAGTCTAGAAGATGATCCTGGTGTCACATGTAGATTAAAAACAAACCTTTCATTGTCTAGAACTGCTTCTGACCAACCAGCATCACACAAAGTTTACCCAGAATGCACTTTTTAAAAAGTTTTCTCTGGTGGATGATGAGAAAACACATCCAGTGATTGCTTCTATGACTCTGTGTCCCATAAGTCTGATGCTCAAAGCTGAGAAAGATTTAACAAAATTTTGGATTGTGATGAATCAAATCTGCTGAACCAGATGGAAGAAGTCATGAAGACGTGTGAACCTTGAGGCCGACTCTTCGTCCTCTGAGGCTGCAGTTCTGCACATGATCACAGCATGAAGGTCAAACTCTGCACGGCTCCTCTAAACCCACTAAAGTCCCCGTGTGTTGGTTCTGAGGAGGTCCGGTGGAGCGATACTTTCTCTGTGAACACTAAACCTCCTCAGTTTGCAAACACTGCTTCTGTTATCGTCGCTCCTCCCTGATGAACTCGCTCCACACAGACACCAAACATCTACTCAACAAAATGTAATTTTTTTTTTGCACTCAGTGGTTCTGCTCATCGCTCACGTTAACGTGGAGGCGACCTGGACTAATCTGTACAGAAACAAGAAGGTTTCCTGTTTCAGGCGGCTCAGTCGGTTCTGGGTGGTACTGAGGGGTGAGCAATACGGGCCGGGCTCTTCAGAACTAACAATCAGACCGCTGGCAGCTGTTTCGCTGTGTTTCTCTTCTCATAATTTTCCACTTTTAGGAGCTGTTGGGTGATAATTTAGTTTGAATTTCACACAGACAGCTGATGCACAACAGAATGGAGGAATTTAGACATTTTTAGTTTCAATAAATCAGATTTTTAAACATAATTTACTTTATGTTCACTTAAATATAAGATTTTCTTTATAAGATGCTGTGATTTTAACAAAATCATCAGTTTTAAAGGTCTGTTGGGTCGAGTTTGTGAAAGAAAACAGGATTATTTCCACAAACTGTATGAATTTAGACAGTTTCCTTTAAAATTCAACAAAAATTAATGAAGGTTTTGTCCATCTAGTGTGAATTGACATTTTTTAGTGTCAATACATCAGATTTTTACACAATTTATAGCACGTATTTAAATGATCAAGCAGCTTTTTTCATTTATTTTTAGAAGATGCTGAAAATATTTAGCCAAAATGATAAAATTCTAGCAAAATTATCAGTTTTAAAGGTCTGTTGTGTCGAGTTTGTGAAAGAAAACAGGATTATTTCCACAATCTGTATGAATTTAGACAGTTTTCCTTAAAATTCAACAAAAATTAATGAAGGTTTTGTCCATCTAGTGTGAATTTTGACATTTTTTAGTGTCAATACATCAGATTTTTAAACAATTTATTGCATTTATTTAGTTTAACAGATAACTTTTTGCATTCATTTTAAAAGGTGCTGCAAATATAAATATAAAGAAAATCAGAAATAAAAGAAAACAGGAGTTTCTTATTGATTATGAACCTGCTTCATATTCAAAAAAATCAAGAAAAATCAACATGTTTTGACATCTTTTGCTCCAATGCATCATTTTTTAAATAATTTATTGCATGTTTTCAATTTATTTAATGTCTTTTTTCATGTAATTTAGAAGATACTGCAGTTATTTAACTATTATGATAAACTGTTGAAGGTCTGTTGTGTAGAATTTGTAAAAGAAAACCACAGGTGTTCTTATAATTATCTCCACATCTGTATTTAAAATCAGTTCAGTGAGAGTTTTTATCATCTCCAGGCGTCTAGAAGTAAATGTTCATAAACTCAGACGTCATAAGAAACTCAAACTTTAGCTTCTCTGACAGACAAACTGGACGTTTATCTGCTGATGGATCATAAAGCCACTCGTCGTATTGCTCACCCCCCCGAGGTGCGGCCACTCCTCCACATCTGTTTGTGCTTCGACACATCTGGAGAGTCGAGCCGTTCTGCACCGAACCCAGATCGCAGGTCTTTGTGGGTTATTTTGATTTCTATTCTTTTTTTTGAACTGCAAACTTCCACCCTCCGCTCAGATATTACTTCTGTCGCCACTCAACAACAAAAAAAACACCAGCAAAGTATGAATAACGTAGCCTCACAGTCGAACAGGAGGGACAGCGGCACGCCGCCGCCGCCGCCGCCGCTGTGCCGCTTACAGTACACGTGTGTCATGACTACAGCAGACCGAGCGCCAGCCAGCATTCAGATTCTAAGGAAGAGACTCGGAGATGTTGTGCGACATGTGGACGGACGGGTCGGTTCTCCCTGGTCCCTGGAAACATCTGCAGACTGTCGCTGACTCACACGCAGCAGAGAAACAACAACACATCTGGAATACAAACAGTGCTCTCACAGGAAAAAAAACAGCAGCAATTCCAAAGAAACAAAAAAAAAAAAAAACCTAAACTACAACAACAACAACAACAATAATAATAATAATAGTAAAATTAATAGTTTTAGCTTCTTCCGCTTTCTTGGTGGAAGACGGACAAAAAAAAAAAAACACACAAACCCTACGGACATTTGCGGCCTGCTCCAGCAGCACAAGCCTGCTGTTCCTCCAAACAAGAGCTTGAATTTGATCGAGAAGGTGGAAAATAAAAATAAAAATAAATCCCTTATTTGTCTTATTTTTTTTTAAAACAGGTGCAGCAGCTGTTTCACAACCAGGAAACAAAATGGAATAATTCCCTTTAAACTTTCATGTGTTCAGATCACAGAAAATAAAAATAAAAGGGGGAAAAAAAAAACAACACACTGAAAATAAAAACCCCAGAATTTGTCCTGCACTGGTTCGCATGTGTTGGCTTCGAAAAGCATGAGTTTGAATAAAGATGATTACATATCTAGAGGAGTTTCTTATTTTTTTGACAATTTCATAGCATAATTTCCTGAATCATTCCGACGTCATGCATTCCTGATAATGTGTGCATACATAATGTTGTTGTTTTTTTTATTTCATTATCATACTGATTTATTTTTTTGTTGGTTTTTTAAAATCTTTACACCGGCTATCAACAACAACAACCGTGAACCATTTGTTTTTTTTTCTCTCTAAACAAATCAAATCATGGAGCATTAAAAATAAAAAATAAAAAATAAAAAATAAAAACCCCCGGTCAATCAATTCGAGCTATTTGCTGTCATTAAACCAGCAGCCAGCTTGTACGCCTTCATGTCAGTGCAGCAACAGACGCTTTGCAACACAAACTGAGGAAAGAAATAAAACTAAAAATAAGAATAAATTCCATACAGGAATGCCAAAGAGAAGATTCCCAAATGCCTTTTTGATCATCAGTACAAAGAGACAAGCTGAGAGTTGAAATGTCGTGAAAACTAAAATATGTTTTTGTTTGTTTTGTTGTTTTCAAATCATCTAAAAGTTCTCGGCGACGTCTGCGTCCGAACGCTCGCAGCTTTCTAGTCAGACTAACGGACGCAGACGCCGAGAAGCAGGAAGCCTCAACTCTGGAGGACGGACGGACGGTTGAGCGTATTGCTTGTTTGTCGGGTTCCTAGAACCGGGACGGGCCTAATTCGTCCTCCCTGGCGCCGCCGTTCTGCTCCTACTGAATCTATCAAACGTAAAGTTAAAGGACGGTAAGACAGCTGAAAGAACATTCACAGTGCTCTAAGAACAAAACAAAACCATGAAATGAAATGTTCTAAAACAAAAAGAATAAAAACTCATCATCGCACCCTAAGTTGGTTTTTTTTGTTTGTGTGTTTTACCCCCTCCCCCCCATACCTCCCCTCCCCTCCCCCACCCTCCTGTTTCCAATAGCGACGCTCTTCCCTTGTTCGCGTCGTCGTCGTCGTCGTGCACTTGCAGCCCGCGGCCAGGTGGTGGCGTCGGGGAGCCGGTTATAGATGCTTCTCCTTGGCGATGCCGTTCTGCACGTGCTTCCTGTGGAGAGACGAGAGAGGAGAGGTGAGGCTATCGGAGGCTATCGGAGGCTATCGGAGGAGCTCAAGGCCGAGCAGATAAGAGGCGCAATCAGCATCTCCATCAGCTGGGGCTGCATCCACACCTCCACCCGCCTGGTTATCGCTAAAACACACAAGACACACTTTGGACCGGCGCTTCTGCTGCAGTGGTCAAACTGCAGCGATGACTTGGAGGCTCCAGAAGATGCACTTTGGAGCGTTTAGCTGAGCGACCACCGGGTTGTGCAACACGACGGCGGCTTCTTTAGAAGGACAAAGACTCGTTTTCCTTCTTTTTTTAGCATCATAATAATTTAAAGTCGACCTTATTGATCTCAAAAAACATGTTCCGGATGAATCAGTTGGTTATTAGTTCATAAAATGTCCAAAAACGTGTTTCTCAAACTGTCAGAGGAGTAAAGAAATGTCCACATTTAAGAAGCTAGAATCATAATATTTCTCTTAAATCTACTGTTAAACGTATTTGGTAGTTAATTTATTTAACGATGATTGATTAATTTCCTGCAGCTCCAGAAGAAAAAAAAGCTTTTCGAGACGCATTTTAACACGAATTCAGGTGTAAAGCAGTGAAAGGAATCAGAAGAATTACACATTAAAGGGAATTAAATGATAAATAAAAAGGAAAACCTGCATTAAAACACTAGTGAGAGTAAAAATAAGTCAATAAATGAGTGACAAGTGTGACGATATGCGAGGACAAGAATGAAACAGCAGCGACTGTTCAGTGAATTTTACGGAAATATGAAAATTTTTCAGGTTTCTTCAGACGAGAACGACCTGAAAAGTAGAATTTATTGTGAGGAAAGTGATTAAAATGTTAAAAACTCTACTTTACTCTGAACTACGTCTGACATCATGCAGCGTTACTTATTCACACAGACCAGGTTGGACTAAAAAACTATATTAGATTTACTGTTTCACTGATATTTCGTGTTAAAATATTCATATTTCCTGTCCTGTTATTTACAGTTTTTGCATTTTGCTGCATATTTTTCTTGCTGTGCGATTAATAAAACATGATTTTAGCTCTCTCCTTGACTAAACTGCGGCCTTTCGTGTAGAAAAGTGACCATAAATCACATAAATGTAGATTTTATGTTTCATTTCACGGCTCCAGCAGCAACAGACAGAACTGGGCTTCATCCTACAGCGACGTTTATTTGCTTGATTAAACCGAACAACCTGTTAGACGGACGTTAAGTTGTTAAAAATCACTTTTGTTCTGGAGCCTAAAGAGCCTTTAAAGCAGCTTTTTCATTGGCGGATGAGACGGTGGGCCGTCACATGTGATTGGATGAAACAGTTCTTTGTTTTTACAGGTTCTGGCTGATAATCGGCATTTTGGGGATTTTTTTGTTTGTTTTATTGTGTTTTTATGTTTGTTTTCTTGCTGAACCGGCTGCTGCTGATTTAAAAAAGTGTATTTAAATCGGATTGTTATTATTATTTTTATTTTTATTTGACGTCTTGTTTGTCTCGTGCTCTTGATCGCTACGACTTTTCCTCCCCATGCTTCCGTCTTACTGTTATTTTTGCACCAAGTCGGATTCCTATGTAGTAAATCGTTCTGGTTCTGGTTCTGTAGCTCCTCCAGCAGGTTCTAACATCTGTGTGTTCCTACCCCTGGGCAGAGTTGTGATGTCCTGCATCGTCCTCGCTGTTCGCTGCCTGAGCGTCTCTGCTGGCCGCCGCCTTGCCGCTGTCCTCGTCCTCGTACTCCCGCACGTCGTTCACCTCCTTCATCTTCAGCACCTTCACCACGAAAACCACGATGAACTGCAGAGAGAACCAGACGAAGGTCAGAGACGTTCTCTAAATGCTCTCCGGGTCTAAACGGGGAACCGACTCGTCCTCACCAAGAACCAGTAGATGTTCATGAGCAGCAGGGCGAAGAGCAGAGCGTTGAAGAAGAAGAAGAAGGGGATGTTGGGGACGGACTGGAGGCTGGACACGCATGTGGCGTACAGGACTTTGAGGGGGAACCAGTAGAGACGGAACCAGAACCTGAGACACACAGGAACAGAATAAACACCAGAAATGGACACATGACACAAACAGCTTATAAATTACAAAGTTTCCCTGTTGGTTGCTTTTCAACATTGAATCATGGTCGGTTTNGTTGGTTGCTTTTCAACATTGAATCATGGTCGGTTTAGTTTGGATTTTTTGACAAGAAATGACCCCAAAAAAAAGAAGACTCTTTGATGTCAAAGTGAAAACTGGTTCCTACAAAGTGACGTCAGTTACTTAAAGATGTGACTGAGTAAGTATTCAGCCTCAATCAGCCTGAACATGTGACGCTACGATCTCACCTCATTCTTCTTCATAAAACTGCTCAAACTCTGTCCGGCTACATGGAGGTCATAAATTCTCAGTTGGATTGAGGTCTGGACTCTGACTGGGCCTCCAGAACTTCACCTCGTTGTCTTTAAACCATTTCTGTGGAGCTTCGGCTCATCATCTTGATGGAAAATAAATCTTCTCCAAAGTTCTCCTGCAGACTGCATCAGGTTGTCCTCCAGGATTTATCTACACTTTGCTGCATATATTTTACCCTCTACCTTCACAAGCCTTCCAGGACCTGCTGCTGAGAAGATCCCCACATCATGATGCTGCCACCACCGTGCTTCACATCATGATGCTGCCACCACCGTGCTTCACAGTGGGGACGGTGTGTTGGCATCTAGTCTGAAGCCCAAAACACTCCATTTTGGTCTCATCAGACCAAAGAACCTTCTTCTTCTAGTTGACTTCAGAGCCTCCACATGTCTTCTAGTGAACTCTAGTCCAGACTTAATATTAATAATCATTTTATATTTTTAATTAATTGACAATACTTTGTTGAAATCTGTTTTCACTTTGACATGAAAGAGTCTTTTTGTTTTTGTCATTTCTTGTCAGAAAACCCAAATGACAACGATTCAACATTAAAAAGCAATAAAAGGGGGCGTCTCCTTGGGAAGGTGAATACAGTTTATAGGAACTTTAAACATCTGTTTATCTTCATGTGTGAATGAGAGACAGAAAAGTGACGAAGACTAAACGAGATCTGAGTGCAGAGGAGCTCACCAGGTGATGCTGAAGCTGACGGAGCCGGTGTTGGACAGAATGTCGTTGAGCAGGTAATAACCGCCTCCTCTGGACTTCAGGTAGATGTTGAGCTTAGTGAACTCCAGCTGGATGTCGTTGATGTCGTGGAGGAACAACACCAGGATCCCTACGTTGTGGTATCTGAGGGGCAGAGAGGAGTCACTGCAGTGGACGTTTCTATCCATCAAACATCCTGAAACCTTCCTAACCGTGAACAGGATCATGTGCAGTCAATGCAGTGGGCAAAAGCATCGTTTTATTTCAGTCGCTGTGCATTTTGTTTTTATTTAATCAAAAGAAAAGCGACTGCATTTGCAAATTTCTGCCTTCATGCGGTTACTTTCTGCTGAGCTGTGACAAACTGTTTTGCAGCCAAAAAAACCTCCCGCTGGAGTTAAAGTGCAAAACATTCAAGCATCCCGATGAGTTTCTGTTCTGCATTTATTAAGAACAACAAAACCAGGAAGCTAAATTTAATGCTGCTGCGTTTGCATAATTCACAACGCACACACACGGTACTCCCATGCTCCTTGTGTTCAGCTCGTCGTCACTGAACTGATCATTAAAATCAATCAGTGTTCTTAATCTGACCTCCTCAGAATCAGCTGGGTTTTTATCTACAGTAACTTCAGTATATATATAATTCAGCCATGCAGAGTTTTACCTTCATGCGATGAATATTTTCAGAGCTACAGGAACTAAAAGCACCAAATTCCACATTTAATTTTAATGGTTTTCATCATTTCTGAGCCTCAGAACTTCCTCAGTTCTGTTAAAAACTGCATCCAGATCAGTTTTACATCCATCCAGGCGTCACAATCCAAAGACTAAACTTGTTTTAGTTCGTTTTTCTCTATAACCACCTTTCAGCATCAATATTATGGGACGCATCATAGTTTCAGTAGTTTAACATCTATGACACAGAGTCATAGAAACAACCATCGGTACTCTGGATGTGTTTCTGTTCTCTGATAATGCACCAGAGAAAACTTTAAGAAATGCATTCTGGGTAAGCGTTCAAGGCTCATGTGTGACGGTGGTTGGTCAGAACAAGTTCTAGACAATGAAAGGATCTGTTTTTATCTACATGTGACACCAGGATCATCTTCTACAGACTCGTTCTTTTGTGGCAGAGTTATTTTTTCTCATATTTTTACACTCATGAATGTGGCTTCTGGCTGTTAAATGGAGATTTCACGTGTTTATCTCCTGAACTTATGACGTTACGAGGCTCAGAAATGTTATTTAAAAGAGACAGAGCACATTAATGAATAAAACATACGTACTGAGTTAGCATAAATGCTAATCTGTTGCTAATCTGTTGTCCCTTGCTGGGTCATGGACTAAAAACATGAACTCACAAGGCTTTAAAATGCACAAATACAATCAATTAATCAGTAACATGATCATGAATTAAACAGCGGACGATTTCTGTGCACTTCAAAGGCCTGTAACTGAAAATATGAAGGTAAAACTTTGCATTAAATATACAGAAGTTATTATGAAGCAGGTCAGGTTTGGTTGATTCTAACAAACACAACAACCCACCTGCCTTCTTAAACAAACATCTCTGCTCATGTGAGGAAAACGTTCGATACCTGAAGGCGTAGGAGAAGCTGATGAGCGCCAGCGTGATGATGTGATGGACCACCATCACGGCCGAGTCCTTCCTCCAGGCGTCCATGTAGACGGTGGCGTAGATGGAGTGGCCATAGAAGCTGCCCTGGATCAGGTAGGCTATGGCGATGTCTGTAGGCACTGACATACCACTCTTCCAGTCTGCAGGGACACAACGGCGCTGGAGTTAGATTATCGGCAACATCGACGTTTCTACATCCAGAAGAAGACGTGCAATGTGGAGAAAATCTGAGCAACATCTGGCCGTCACCACAAGAGAATCTGGATGTTTTGTTTGTTTTGCACTGATGTTATCTTACAAGGAGGCTGTTTAATTTATAAAATAATCCTCTTTCTTTGTGTCTGTGTTAGCAGGAAATCTCTAAACACAACAGATTTCCGTGAATTCTTTTGTTTTGTCTTAAGAGACTGGAGCTCAAACTGAGCGTTCACACAGAGAATGAATAGAGACGCTACAGTTTAATGACAATAATGTGATTTTTGAACATTAAATCCTGAAAACATCGTCTTGTACGCACCGAAAAATAAAATTATAAACCTGTAAATGTGCAGAATAGAGGCTCTTGGTGAGAAACGCTTTATTTAGCGCATGAATTCTAAACTGAAAAGCATTTTTATGGATAATGTTTGACCTGCACTGAGCGTCCTGCTGAGCCAGCAAATGAAGGTTTTTTTTAAAAAAATCTGGAATTAAAAATGAAACTTGTGGGTGATTCTTCCAAACAGTTCTGTACGTATTTTTTCTGTTTATTCTACATACAGTAAATGAGCACAAACACATTTATTGACTTTCTGTCTATAGGTGGCAGCAACAAGTCACATTTAAAAGCCTTTAAACTGAGCTCAGGTCTTCTGCAGCCAGTTTAACACAACCTATCAATAAAAGCTTTATTTGAGCTAAAATACGGGGTAAAAATGTAGAAATTCTGCATTATTAACTTAAATTTAGAGAGTCATGCAGCCTCTACAGGAGCTTTAGACTCTCTGAGGCTTTTCTCATGCAGATATTTACTGCAGCTACAGAATTTTTCCTCCTTTAAATCTGTTTTCTTGCTTGTAATTCAGCCTCTCACACGATGAAACACAAGAACACGACTGCATGAGGACGTTCCCAGAGCTGGAAACCAGTTTGCCGACAGTCTTATTGACTCCAGCCGCGGACGCATGTGTTTGTTTTCCTTCTCTTTTCTTTATTTTGCGCCTCCTCGTCCTCTCTGTTTTCCTGCCCGCGACCCGGAAACCTCTTTCAGCGCTTCATCTTTCGGGATGTTTCGGTTCCTGAAATGCAGCTCAACGACACAAGAGGAGGTCTGTTTGAGGAGCTCCGGACGAGGATGTACGCAGCGGTTTGAATCTTTTCTGCACACGTATTGGAGGCAGCTGGAACGAACTAAACAGACGGAGGCGCTTCCTTTGTAGTCGTGGAGCTCATTTGTGTGTGTTTTTAATTCTGCTGGACGTTTGTAGGTTCTCGTCAAATTATGTCATGTGTTAAATTAAATTAAATAAAACTCTGCTGAGATGATAAAACGCAGTCGTGGATTAGAAGAAATCAATGGACAGATAATGCAGCCGTCACATTAAAATGATTTAAAGTGAAATCTCCTCCAGGTGGGAGGAAGTGAGGAAAGGAGGCAAGGAAAGGAACTGAGAGAAGAGAGGAAAGGTTTGTCTCTGCTGAAATGGGATGTAGTGTCTCCTCAAAGCCAGACTAGATCCTGGAGGATCAGGTTATACAGCACGACTTAAATCTAAATCTTAGACGGCGAATAAACCAAAGTGCTAAAACCAGCAGATGTGGACATTTACTGGAGGGAATCGTGACCTATTTTGTAATAAAGGTCAGAAGACAAAACTAAAAATTTTGCAGCCCTCTGAGCAACTAAAAAGCCACGATTCACTGAGCTGCCACCAACAGTCACATCACAAAAATTAAGCAAATTTTGCTTCTAGTGGGGAAAAAACAAACAAATCTAAACTTCAAATCATGATAATTTCTTAAAGTTTCTTAATTCTGCATGTTTCATTCAAAAAATGGCCAAAAATCAACCATTTGCTGTAAGAAGATTCTGTAAAAAACAAAAAATTCTGCGTTAATCCACACAGCTGAGATGATATGAATGTTTTAGCTGTGACCAACAGTCACGTGAGAAAAATTCTGGGAATTCAGGAGGAAACCCACAAAATCTGAGCTTAAAATCTTTAGCAAATGTCTTTATTCTACACGTCTAATTACAAATTTGTCAAAATGAAAATGTCTGTAGAATCTAAATTCTGTTAAAAACTGAAAAACAAAACTAAAACTCATAAATAATCCAGTTAAATGATCAAAATAACTGACCTTCTATCTACCAGCTGTCTAATAAAATCATCCCACTTGTTCTAAATGGGTTAAATATTTACAAATTATTAAAGTCATCTGGGTGAATATTCCTGGATTTTTCTTACATGTTTCACAAAAAACTAGTGTCTGTAGATCTCTAGTTAATCATATAATTTTAGTGTGAATGATCTTCTACCAGATATAAAACAGTTGAAGGTTAAAGGGACTCGTTGTTTCAGACTAATGTTCTTAAACCTTCAGGACTTGTTGTTGCACCACGATGTAAAGGAAGTTCTGCTGCTGCAGATGATGACTCCTCCGTATCACAGCAGAAGCATCTCTGCTGTATATAAATACATCTGGACCCTGACAGCGCCGCCGGCCGCTATCTGGACTATATACAGTCGCTTCCTTTGGGGCTGCAGGATCGGGTTTACTGTAAAAAGGAGGATTTGTGAGCAGACGAGCCGCCTCCGAAGCCTATCGGATGTTGGACGGAAACTTTCTCCTCCGATGTTGGAGTACGGTTTGTCTCTGGTGAGATGAGGTTACGTTCGGGCCTCGTGTAATGTTTATTGATCGGACCTTCCGTCATTAAACATTGAGAGGAGGCCTGCAGGACGGATCACAACAGAGGAGCTGCCAAGGGGAGGCATGGGAACCGGAGCCCTGCTGCAGACTGGAGCTTTTCTTCTTCTTCTTCTCTTTAAAACGTAGCCTCAGAAACCAGCCTGACTGCTCTGATTTCTTCTTCTTTTCTCTGCTTCCCCACCAGTCAGCTCTTATACAGTCAGTTTGACGGCTATTAGAGGTGAAGCAGCTATTAAAGCTGAACGTGGCGCCGTCAGCCGGGCTTTGCGAGCTCCACTCAGCAGCGCCGACACCTGCAGGTCCGATGGAGGAGGCCGTGGACGCGATGCAGGCTCTCCATCGTGACTCCGGCCTGCGTCGGCTGCACATCGTTTATGCATTTAGTGGCAGAATTGAAAGCGTCTCGTGATAAATAAGTGAATAAGTAAAGGAAGGAGCCCGGTGGATGTAAATGTGGGAGGTTTTGTGTCAGTAGCTGCATCTAATCATGAAAGAACAGGAGAGTGGGATCAATTAGAGGCTGAGAATATGCATGAAGCAAATCCCGTTCAGCCCACTATAAATATCTGCCTGTTTGAATCCTCAGAGCGACGCTTTACCTCCACAGAGTTCAGACGAGCTGCTGCTGCTGTTTCATTACATTAAAACGACTTCAAGTAAGAAACCGGCTCAGTTACGCCACTAATACATGTTTGATCTGAGCTCAGGAGTGATCTAGTAAAGTTAGCTTCAAACAAACAGATTATTTAGCCTCTTTTAGTGAAAATCGCTCAATTTAAACGATTTATTAAAGCAACAAACTGTACAAACAGGAGGAATCGTTGGATTTTCAGCTTTCTAACGGCGCTAATCATGTGTGACTTTTAGTTTAATCAGAAAACCGACCAAATCTAAACCTGAAGTTGTGACATTTCATCAAAATCATATTATTCCATATGTCTGATTCAAAAAAATTGTCAAAAATAAACTGTTTCTAATATCCAGATTCTGTAAAAAAGAAAAAATTCTGCACTTCTCCTCTCAACTAAGAAGCCACGACTGCTTCAGCTGCGACTGACAGTCACGTGACAGAAATTCAAGGACTCTCGTTTCTGGTGGGAAAAACGAAATCTGAGTTTAAAATTGCAGCTGTTCTTTATCCCACATGTCTTGTTTAAAAATGTGTCAAAAATGAACCATTTACAGTAACGAGATTCTGGGAAAAATAAAAAATTCTGGGATCTTTGGTGCAAATAAAAAGCAAAGATGGATTCACCTGCGACCGACAGTCACAAGATGAAAATTCTGTGATTTTTGCTTTTGCCAGAAAAAAACCCACTAAATCTTAAACTTAAAATCTCAACTATTTATCAGAATTTCTTTATTCTACACGTCTCATTTAAAAGATTGTCAAAAATAAACTATTTGCAGTCATCAGACTTTGTAAAAAACAAAGAATTCTGTGCTTTTTGGCACAAATTAAAAGGTACAAACGATTAATCTGCGACCAACAGACGTGTGACAGAAATTCAAGGATTTTTCGGTTGAATTTTTGGAAAACAAATAATCAAAGAAATTGAACTTTTGTTTTTCTTTTTTTATGATTTACGACATTATATTTTTGTTAAACTGCACAGAAGACATTTCTACATTCTCTCTCCTTCTAGTCGTGGTTGTTCTGTTTCCATAAAGCTGCAGGACTTTATGTTGCGGTGAAAAATGAGCCACAGTGAAGAAAAATGTGACATGAAGCTGCTCAGAGTTCAGAAGGTTAAACAACAACTTACTGTAGAAGACGGAGGGCGGGTCGTGGAAGAAGGAGTAGGAGGTGAAGAAGAGCAGGTAGGTGGTGTAGGACCACGACATGGTGTAGAAGACCAGCTTCCACGCGCTCTCCGGCATCTTGGCAGCATCTTTGGGCAGCAGCCTGCACCACTGTGCAAGAGGCTGCGGAGACAAAACGACAAGAGTTAATCATTCTGCGGCTTTTCATTCATTCAGACGGCGTTTCTTCAGCGAACCCGATACGGAGCGGCCGGTTCGGTCCGTTAATGCACTCTGTGGCCGATGAGATCGTTTGGCTGTTTTTTGGTTTCATTGTAAAGAATTGATTTTGTTTCTTTGTGCTGAGAAAATAAACAAACAGTGTTTAGATTAAACCTCATTGTACAGAGACAACGGAGCTCAGCGTCCAAACAGAAGAGCAAGAAGACGCAATCAAAGTGTGACGTGATGTGAAACGTGATAAATACAGTATTAACAGAACAAACAGGGACATGTACGAGCTAAGTATATAAACAGAACGTACAGATAAATAGAAATAAAGGGATAAAAGCTCAGGGACACTAAGAGGGTTATAATACTGGTTTATCTTATTGTTTTAAAGAACTCTGGTGACTGTAATGTGTCATTTATATGGATTCTTCTTCAGCATCACGGCCAATATTCCATCTTACTTTTCTATTATGGTCCTTTTATCAGCATCTTATTTATAGTTTTAGTTTCAGTAATGCTTCTATCCTACTGATTGAGACATTTGTGCATTTATTCTCATCTTTCTGACCCACTCTCTGTTCTATCTCATCTTATCTGACACACTGAAGACATAAAGGGGGCCGTATATCTTCACAAGTTTACGTATAAATCTCTTTTAATAATAAGATCGAGACCTCACAGTGATATATTACAGACAGAAACCCAACAGGTCCGCCGGTTTCCTGCCACTAAAAGCCGAAGCAGACAGACGACATCTCGATAAATAAACACCGCTGACCACATCTTGTGCTCTTTATTTACCAGAAAGCTGCTTTATTCGTGCGTCCGCTGGGCGTGTACTGAGATGTTGACATTGCTAAAGTGTAGGATGACTCAGTTCTGGCCGTCTGCCGCCGACGCCGCTGCCAGGATGTCTTTTCAAGTACATTATAGAAATATGCTTTTTGGGACAGAGCTCGTCGCACGTTGCACCCAAAGTGTTGAACTCGACAGTCTGATTGTCCTGATCCCTGAGCCTGGCCCATGTGCAGGCTGCAGCCCGACGCCGGCATGTGACCGTCTGCCCGCAGAAACGAGTCTTTCACAAGGCTGCTCAGGGTTTGCACTGCAAGCAGAAACAGAGGAAGTGGAGGAGTCCTGCTGCAGATGCAGGCCGATAAGTCGAGCCCGCCCACCGTTATCTTCCCCCGCAGCCTCACTGACTCTCGGCGGCCTCGTGGTGACAGAAAAACCTCTGAAATCTCTGAAGGAAGAAGCTAACGGTGGAGCTGAAGGTGCAAAATGACGCCAGTGCAACACAAAACAGCAGAAAAAGTACAAAAAACTGAATTAACAACATAAAATAAGATTTATTTATTCGTGTAAATAGAATCAGAAGTATTTGTTTGGTGGTTTTACACGGAAATCATTTTATATTTATACTTAAATATCATAGTTTTGTCAAATTTTTACGTAAAATTAAGAGTAAAAACGCATAATGTGCATGATATCATCTATATTTTTGGAAAAATGGGAATGTTTTGTTAAAATTACCAAAAGAAAAAAATAAAATCAATTACATAGATAAGATTTTTATGTTAAGGTAAATAATATAAGTAAAAACTCTTATTATACTGGATATGATTGAAACATTAGCACATTATTATAATAATATTTCTTAATAACCCCAGTTTTACATTTTTTTCAAAGGAAAATCAACTATTTTTATTTCTTAACATCAAACTTGTGTTAAATATTCAACATCACACCTAAAGTTAAATGTAAAAACTCACATTATACTGGATATGATCTAAAAAAAAGTTTTAATTTTAATTACAATAATAAATATTTGTTTAATAACTGTAATTTTACATTTTTTTCAAACTAAATTAAATAAATTATTGATGGATGTAGTTTTTAACATTAAAAATCTACTAAATATACGAGAGTTTAATGTAAAGTTACAAGTAAAAGTCATTTAATGTTTAATATGATGTAAAAACAACAATGGACAATTTATTTTTAATATTAAAGATCTATGAAATGTACGAGATTTTTAGGGTAAATTATGAGTAAAAACTTTGCAAATTTTATTTTATTTTTTGTTTTAAAGGTAAATACATTTTACACCAAAGATTGATAAAATATTCAATATTTTGATGGTAAATTATGTGTAAAAACTCATATTCTACTTGTTTTGATCTAAATACAACATTTTGTTGTTATTCTAATAAAAGGTGTTTTTTTTTTTATTTTACATTTTTTAAAGGTGAACACATTCATGTTGTTGTGGACATTTTTTTTACATTAAAGATCTTCTGAGGAGGAGATGCTGATAATCGGGACTAAAACACACACGCAGGTGAAGCTGAACCTTCCCGGCAGGTACGGCTCACAGCGAGACGGCCAGGTGTTGGGTGATTCAAAGCCAAGGCAGGAAACCAAACCCACACCCATTAGACGGTAACTGGAGGCAGCAGAGTGAAAGTGGTCTGGTGTCAGTGATACAGCTCATCTCCGTCGCTTGTTACTAAGCTGCCTTGGACAGGACTCGATCCGACGAGGCTCGGTGACACGGACATGACAAATTAATGGAGTGTCGCCGCGGCTCAGAGGCACCAATTCATCCCTGGTTCGTCTGATGAATGTATTTACCTGCTGATTCTGACCAAACTCTCACTTGTTCAGCATCGCTTTACCTTTAAGGGCTTCAGACTGAAACAACGGTTACATGTGCAACCGAAGAGTTAAAACTGCATTTGGTGACTGTTGGTTCTGCTCGGGTTCGATATGATACGAGAAATGTGCAGCAGCAGCAGCAGAGCGGTTGGTGCCAACAGTCCAGAGATATCAGCGGAAAATTAACAAATAGTTTACACGAGTACTAGTTCAGATTGTCCTGTTCTTCTGTTGTTTTTTCTTCACTGACTCAGCGAAACAATCCGTTCAGCTGTTATCGCTCCTCCAACATGAAGCTCATTATCTTATAAAAAACTACATTTAGAGACAGCAGAGGATGATGAAGATGCAGGTGAAGGCAGATCTACTGAAGCAATGAAGAAAAAGTAAAAGTGACTCGATAATCCGACACTAAACGTAAAACCTTCTCTAATGTCGGATAGCGAGGCTGTCGGATTGTCAAGACAGAGGTCCAGATACGAGGAGTTTTTCTGGTAGATTTATCGTAGCAACTGGATTTGCTTGAAGACGTTCCACCTCTCATCCAAGAGGCTTCATGAGCTCAGACTGACTAATTGGGAGTTCCAGATACTGATATCCTAAAGGAGCCATTAACACCTGCGTTTCAGTTTCAATTGGATGTTTGTTGCTCCTCCCCCTCGTTATGGGTCGTTAGTGCTCCCCCTGACACCATGGGGTTGGTTAGGGTCTTTATGGCTAGATGTGGATGTGGTTTCATCTTCCTGGGGAGAGATCTTAGGACTGAACTGTAAACAGGTGAGAGGTGATGCCTCAGACCTCCACCTCCTTTAGGATATCAAAGTGTTAGTGATGCTACCAGGATATTAAAAAAGCTGCCCAGTCCGTCGCTGTTTGTCTCAAACACATGATTGCAGGTCATGAAGCATCAAGGAAGTCGTTGTCATGGTAACCACTGCTAGCTCTCTGCTAGCTAAGTAGCAACCAGCTAATAACGCTAATCTGCAACACGTTGTGCATGTAGAGAAAACAGGTTTCCTTCTACGCTGCATTTCAGACGAAGTTCATGAGCGATTACGGAACATTAACGAACAACTTGGACGCAAAAATGCAATTTGTTTTCAACTATTTAGCCGTCAAACATCCACACAGGACTGATTTAAATAACTTTATGTACTTATGGTGTGTGTTATCATGGAAATAGTATTCGGCTGCAACTTAAAAAAGGTTTAAAAAATCTGTACATCAATGCAAAACGACGCTTTACAAAGACAACTTCATCTGAATCAGCTTTTCAGTTCAAATATGTGAACACACACGGCTACAAATACACTAAAAGTACTCACACGAAAAGAAAAAAGAAGGAAAATGAGTTTTTACCAACTACGTAAAACTGTAGAAAAGAATGTTTGAAGTTTATTTAAGACGTCATTTTTATTCTTTAGGTAAAAAAACTTCATTTCTACTACAAGTATAACCCAAGTATCCCCGTTATTCAGGGTATAAAATCTGAATTATGTCAGTAAACTGTGATCAGTTTTGTTTTGCAGGTCTTTAAATATGTGCAGCATGTTCAGAGAATAAATCCAGAGTTATTGAGTCCTGATGAAGTCGCTGGATGAGCAGTAAGAAGGGATCGGATCACGTGTCGGTCGACCAACTGAGTAAACAGCAGAAATCGGTCTGAGTCTGTTTTTCTTTCTCTTCTCCGGAGTCACAACCGACAGAGTCACAACAGGACGGGGAAGGAAGCCGGCGGGGGCAACACCGATGCGAGATAAGCTGCAGCGGCAACAGACTTCGAGGTCTTCAGCTGTGACACATGTAGAGAAACGGGGAGGGGAGGGGGGGTCACGTGACGCCGGCCGGGCCCGCTGATTGGCCGAGGCGGCAGCGACATGTGGTGCGTGTTCAGTAAGTCATGACCGGATGGCAGGACGCGCACCGCATTCCTCCGCGTGCTTCAGTACATCTGTATCAGTCTATCAGCCTCCCCCCTCCTCCCCCCTCCTCGCTCTG